TGTGAACTGTTCACTCAAAGTAGCTGGAAAATATCTCCAATACTGCAATTTACTACTGAAAAGATATTTTTATTCCTTAAAATATCTCTTGGCTATATGATATTGGTTATATGTGTTTGTATATGTTACACATACTTGGAGATGCTGCTTCTACTCACTAGTAAAGGATTATAACTTTTAAAAAAATAAAAATAGAAAATACATGTGGACAATGAAAACTAATTAATAATGCTATCCCATGTAACTATGAAATGACAAGCTGGTACAAAAATATTTATCTTGGCCTAAGCATTCTGTGCATTAGCAAAGTCAGCAGTAAAAAAACTTGAAACATTCATAAGACACAAAAAACGATACAGAAAGAACTTTAATAAACCTTAGAACAACAATGAACAAAACCCTAGTTCAATAGCCATACCCAAAAAGCACAGCAAAACAAAGACAGTTTTTTAATCAAAGTGTCTTAAATACAGCAGCCCAAGCTCTCTGGAACACAATTTCAAATTATGAAAATAATTCAGGAGCAATGTTAGAGTAAAGTCTACATTCCCTGGAAGTCAGTCAGAAAGGCTGACAGAAAAGATCGGCTGTAGATAAACAGCCACCATTCTCCTCCCTCCTCTCTCTCTCTAGGTCAGATTGCAGACACAAGTTCTCTCTGTACAGTGTTAGTTTCCACTCTGCAAAGACCCTGAGTGCACAGCCCAGGCTCCACTGGATAACTGGACACCCATTCTCTCTCAGTGTGTTCAGAGACAAAACCCACTACCAAGGGATGGCCCAAGCATCCTGCTTTGGTACTGCTTCTGCTAACCAGTGGGAAACTAAAACAGGGCCAATACTTCATATTTGTCCTTTCATGACTGCCAGCTGCCCTGAAATCATACAGAGGATTTACTGATAGTTGTGCAGGGACAAAACAGCTGCCAGGAATAAAGCACAATGTCTTGACAGTACCTCATCAGAACTGCTGAAACCAGAGATCCTCAGCAAAGCTCACAGTCATCTGAAAAGCTCCAGAAACCAATCATTTCATATAAAATCAATCCTTATCATCACTCATAAATACCTGTTTATGGCAATCTTGTAGAAAGAAAAATAAAAATATTTAACACTAATCTCTTTTAAGCTCTCAACACTCCTAGGTCTACCAGATTAGGATAATTGCTGAAGACAACTAATGAAACTCAAGACTCAGAATCTTAGTTTTGGTATTCCCTGCTTTGCAATGCTACACGTTGTCCAAGATTTCCTAACAGAAGTGCTATTCAGAACTCAACACCATGCATGCCAGGGAATCATCATGCTAATAATGGAATAAAAATAAGTGATATTTTGCCACTACAATTATCCATCCAGAGGCAATTGTTCCACATAGTTTGAGGAAGAGTGTTTCCTGACAAGACTGACTTTCATTTGAGCACCTCGACTGCTACCATAAAGTAAGCTAATGTAGTAGTTAATTACAAAGTGTATAATTAATAGTAGTATATTCCCTGCCATCTGCAACAGACATGCAATGCTTAAGAAGTATAGTTTTGTAGTGCTACATACAAAAGATTTTCATTCTAAACTAGAATTAATAACAACTACTTCCATAAAAAATATTTATATTTTTAATTTAGTTTGCTGAATGAGCCAAAATTGTTTGCAATATAAAGTATTGTCTTTGCCCAGAAAGCCTCTCACAATATGTAGGCTTTTTATAATAATGAAAGCCCCACTTAAGGAAAAAAATCAATTTCGAGTCCTGCAATTTAGCCAAAGCCGTCCCAGGACCCCACTCCACACAATATTCAAAAGGCTTGTTTTACTTTTGTGTCTCCTTGGAATACTGTTCACCAATGGCAGCTCCCCTAGCCTTCCACTTTATATACTAAGCAAAACCACATTGTGATTCATAAAGTTTCTCTTCCCAGGAAAGAAAGAGCCCTCTCATAACTGTAAATGCAATCCCCTAAAATACAGCACTGAACATGACACAGCACATTTTGAAAAAACTTACTAATAAATTGATGACACAAAGAAAGCGCTGTACTATCAGCTGTAGAAAAACTCTGCCTAAACAACCTAACAGTAGACATTTGTTCTCCACTCAAAGATCACTCTACTGTATTTCACAATACTTTTTCTTTTACTAGCTTTCCTTACAGAACTCTGCTATATATTCTGATTTTACATGGCTGATCATGCAAAAAAAATTAGACTACTTACTAACAGTTGAAGTTCACAGAAAAAAACCTTTAAAGTTAAAAAATGAAAAAAACTGAACAAAACTACTTTCAACTTAAGATAGATTATTTTCTTAATGAAATTTTGTGAAATATTCAAGTTCATGTTACTTATAACTTCAAAACTATTATGGAGGTCAGAGAGGAAACATTAACCATGCAACAGTATGAAAAACCCCCTCAATTTCAGTACACCTTAGTACTGAACACTTAGTCCAAGGCATTATGAAAGTATGCAGCCTGTGCTAGAAATCTACAACAGTTTTTTGCACATTGCATTGAATTCAAGATATTAAAATAATATACAAAAAGAAAAACAGCTTATTTCAGAGGCTGAAAAAGTACAAGAAATAGGCTAATATTTGTTCAATCGTGGTGATTTCAGCAATCTCTTTTCAATCAGTTTTCGAAGTGGAAAAACTTTTCATGGCACATCTGTACCTCCCTGTTTTTAACTAGAGCTTCAGCAGTACATCTTCTGTGAAAACAGAAGTGATTGTTGAAGAGATTGTGGCTCAATAACTCAGCAAAAAATTGAATAATGACTTTGAATTGCTAAAGTCTTTCACTGGATTGATGAAGATTCTGCAGCCCACAGCTGCAGCAAGCTGACAGTAATAAATTCTCCATGCACTGCAAACTAAGGATCTAACTATTTCATCCATTTCTAAGTATGTGAAAGCTGGAGGCAAAGCCATTTTACAACTGAATAAATACTTGCTTCTTTCCTTATGGCCTTTAACAGAGGTGGTAGTGTAAGGCCAAACAAGAATAGAACTCCCTGGAGATGCCTGCTGTGAGGAACGTCATAGCATTTCTTCAAGAAATTTCAAAACAATAGCTTAAGGGCAACTTTTTCCATTAGAATTCAAATTATTTTGAAAGAGTCAATATTTATAATAAAGGCCACAGTACAACACATGAATTGAATTACTCATTTTTCAATCCAAATGTACAATACTCAAGTTGAAAATACTTTCCAAAATCTCACATTCATTGTCTGCAAAGACAAACAAAACTTGAGTTTTCTTTGTTATTATGCCAAGTAAATACATCTTTATGCTAATACAATGTGGAATTTATGGTATATAAGTACAATTATAACAGGACAGACAAGTCTGGGGTTTTTTCTTTCCACACATGCCATAAATCTAAATAAAATTTAGATAGTTAACTTAAACAAGGTCATAAGCCTGACTTATTACACATCTTATCTTTGTCATACTTTCTTGAAGAATAGTCCAAAGTTTCTTTAGAACAGCTATACAGTGCTGAGTAACACTTCTTATGCTACTTATAAATGGCAGCTTCTCTCCTGCTCAGTAACTACTTGCCAATTTCAAAATAATCTGTTTTATATTACTGAAAACTCCTAGCTTTCTGAAAAATGTTTCCTTAGCTGCTTCTCCAACAAAATAACAAGCCCATTTATGTATCCTCTATTTCAGTTATTGATTATTTCACAATATGTATATAGGTTTTAGAAACTTATCCTACTAAACCAAGAAATCTGACATGACAGGATTCCAGACAATCCTAACAGCCAATCCAATGCACAACAATGAGAGCATTAATTCTAGAAACCTAAGGAATAAGAAAAAATTAGTGGAAATCACAGATGAGCTTCTCAGAAGAAAAGAGAGGTACTTGGCTTTTCACACAAGTGAAAGGAAAGGGCATTTTCAATTTTAAGCAAGAACCTTCTGTGTGCATAATGTAGAACTTAGAATTTGTGAATATGGGCTTTGATTAGGAAAAAGGGTTTCCTTGCATACAGCTGATAGGAATAAACAAAAGTTTATCACTGGCCTAAGTAAGATTCATTATGGATCCCTAAATAAGAATAGATTCAAAAAAACTTTCAATCATTGGAGACTTCTTACTAGAACATTTGCAACTCTCAGAGCCATAAGTGAAGCCCAGAGGATGCACTGTCTGTGCATCCACAGAGGATGTGACATCAAATGTTGCATTTACTCCTTTTGATTCAAAGTATTCCATACAAAGATGAAGAAGCTGCTACACCAGAATTACCTGAGTGTTTTTAATGTACATTTCAGTCCTTCAAAATGGTACACAAACGGAACAAACATTACCTGTGCCTTCACAATGAATACTGGCATAATTTGAAATCTGTATTTTTGAAACACAGGTAAAATTTAGATCTAAAGAACAAATACTAAGATACAATAAATCTATCATAACTAACATACATGCAAGAGCTTTAGGCAGATACTGGCCCCAGATAGTGTACTGCAGGAAAAACTTAGTATTTGATTGAATCCATGTGACACTACAAATATCCTACTGAAGTTAAAAGCTGATAAACTTTGAATGGGTCTCAGAAAGACCCCAGGATGTCTCCACTAAATCAACTACCAGCAAAATCAATGTATTGCTGAATAGGGTTTAAGAATCCTTGGGAGGCTCATTAAATTTTCATAGCTGAATGAAAAAGGTTTCCATCACCTTCTTTAAGAAATTAGAGATAAAGTAAAATGAACAAATTTTACCATTTCCACATCACCACCAAAAGATCCACGCACAAAAATTCACTTGAACAATACAAAATCAAAATAAAATACTCCTTAAAAGACTGCATTTTCCAAATAGATGTGCACACTATAACAAAAGCATGGCTTTCTACCACAAAGACATCACGAGACACAGCTATGACTACAAATAAGAACACCCCAAATTATTATGTGTGAAGGTAAGCCCAGATATACTTCAGTGGCTGACTTTTATTGTAGGGATAAAATTTCTTACCTTGAAAAGACTGCTTGGCTCTGTCCACCAGTTCTTCAATAGGATAACTTGCTAGATCTCCTCTGGCGTGTTTAGTTTTACAGTAGGTACATGCATTGAGACACCTGTTCAGAAAATGAAAATTCTCAGTTTCTAACCAGGAAGCCTTTATAGGCACAGCTTTTTTTATTAAGTACATCTGGAAAAATGAGTTTTTATATCTATGACCAGAAAATAGTAGTATTTTGTTTTTAAATCAATGGTATAGTTTTAAAACTGTTTTGCTGTCCTAACTTCTTAAAGTATCATTCACAACTATATGAAAACTTGAAAAACAATCAGTAGGAACCACATACAAAACTAAGAGTAGGAATTTAAATATTTTTAGAAAGGTACAATAAGGTTAATAATTTTTTATTACTAAAGATCAATCTCCAGGTTTCCGATCCATCTATTACATAAAAAATCCAACCTGAACAAGAAAGTAAATGAAATAAGTCCCAAAAGGCTGAAAGTGGATTTCTAGAAGTGTGTATACTTAAAAAGACATTTCCATTAATTTTTTCAACTTTCCTTTGGCTCCTATAAATAGAACAAACAACATAATGAAGACAGAATCACCAGCTAGAAAAGAGAGTTTGGCACAAAAGACTGCAAAACTAATGAAAACTCCTACAAGAAAATGAAGAAATAATGTGATTGCTTTTAATTTACCTGACAATATATTAAAGGCAGACTTATTCAGAGTACAAGGATGGAAAGACCAAAAAAAACAAAAACTACCTCTCATTGTAAGACTGTTACGCTTTTCTTCCCTTCTCCCCTTTTTAGACCTGATATTGCTCTATGTTTTTTCAGGTTAAAGCATTTAAACCCACGCCCTAAAAACCTCACAGACCCCAAAAAATTCTTTTAAATTATTTCTATTGTTCATGCTTGCCAGAATACCATAAATTCTGTCCAGGCCACAGCTTCATAAAATCATATAATCTTTAAGGCTGGAAGAGACCTCCAAGATCATCAAGTCCAACATTTGACTGATCACCACTGTATCAAATAAACCACAGCACTAAGTGCTACATTCATCTCTTGAACACTTCCAAGAATGGTGACTCTACGACTTCCCAGGGCAACCTGTTTCACTGCCTGGCCACACTTTAGTGAAGATGCTCTTCCTGATATCCATCTCCAACCTCCCCTGGCATAGCTGAGGCCGTTTCCTCTTGCCCTGTCACTGGTTTCCTGGCAAGTGACCCCCACTTGGCTACACTCTCCTTTCAGGCATCTCTAGAGGGTGATAAGGTCTTCCCAGAGCCTCCTTTTCTCCAGGCTAAAACTCCCAGCTCCCTCAGCTGCTCCTCACCAGGCTTGTGCTCCTGACTCTTCCCAAGCTCTGTTCCACTTCTCTGGACACAGACCAGCCCCTCAATCTCCTCCTTGCAGTGAGAGGTCCACAACTGAACACAGGATTTGAGGTGTGGCCTCACCAGTGCTGAGTACAGAGGGACAATCCCTGCCCTGGTCCTGCTGGCCATGCCATTGCTGACACAGGCCAGGGTGCCATTGGCCTTCTTGGCCACCTGGGCACTGCTGGCTCCTGTTCAGCCACTGTGAACCAGCATCCCCAGGTGCTTTTCCACGGGACAGTGTTCTGCCCACTCTTCCCCCAGCTGTAGCACTGCAAGGGGTTATTGTAATCCCAAGTGCAGGACCCAGCATTTGGCCTTTTTGAAATTCCTAAGGATGGCCTTGACCCACCAACCCAGCCTGTACAGCTCCCTCTGCAGACCCTTCCTACCCTCCAGGAGATTCACACCCCAGCCCAACTTTACGGTCATCTGCAGACTTACTGAGGATGCACTTGATCCCTTCATCAATAGAGATATTGAACAGGAAAAGAAAACATTTAGGTACCAGAAAAGGCAAATGTTCCAACTACAGCATAGCTGGAACTAATACCAGAGTACTTTCAAAACAATATCAGAAAGGCAAAGATAGCACAGGGCAGGTTTTGATGAAGTCACCAGCTCCAAGACTGTGTTTACTACTTGGATGTATCTTGTCTTCTATTAGGATGTCTGGCATCTCCATGACTAGCTGATTAGTGCTTTGCAAACTCCAAAGGTTTTTCTTCACAAAGACTCCACCCACATGTTAGTTCTGCGGCTTTTGCATAAGCAGGGGTTCAGGAAGGGCAGAACACTGCCCAGAATTTGTTCAGCTGCCCTCCTGACACTGCACATCCCCTCAGCCCCAAGACCTTCTCCATTCAATAGAATCCTAAGTTCTAGAAGAAGATTTAGGTAGTTTGTGATTCTCTCTGGATATGTATATTATTTGTTGTGCCTATCAGACCAAAACATGAGATTTTAGCATTCGCCTCAGATCAGAAAACTAAAATATACTGCTCAACAGCAGCAATCAGACTGTTCTATTAACCAAAAATGTATATGAAAAAGGTTGCCAGTAAAACATCTAACAGGGTATTAAAAATAGAAAAAATACCTAAATCTGAATCTTTACAACCTGTTCCAAATGAGTGACTCACTGCCATCCAAAGGCAACTTATTCATCAGATGTATCTCACCTTTCTCCTGCAAATCAAAAGCTTTTCATTGCACAGGATCTGAAGCATATGTAAAAGGCAGCACTTGAAATCAAGAAAGTGTAAGCAGATAATTGGTTTATACTTTGTCTGTGTAACCTATGTAGCAAATGAAAATGTTTTTCTTCTAGGTTACTGTCATCTAAAGTTTGCCATGAATGGCTTTCCCTCAAAGCCCATGGGTGTTTCCTCCTCTCCATGCTCCCCTTACACAAAGCATGTCTCCTTCCTTTGTTTTTCCTTTTCTTGATTTTCTTTTTTGTTAGTTTGTTTTTAAAGCACAACTCTCCATTCAAGCCAACACTTCATTTCTAAGCATGCTCCCATCCTGACATACCACTGTCATATTCCTCTCCCTCACCATCATTCATTCAGCAAACCAGCCTTTTTCCACACAGCTACACAGAGAAAAAACATTACAGAACAGTCAAGGAAACATAAAATTAGTTTCAGAACAAATATGTCTGCCCTTTTGGAACCAAAACACAAAAGGCGTGGTATTATGTACTAACCTTTGTACTACACCAACTTGTTTTCTCCAAGAAAATAAAATTACCTGCTATTTTGTCAAACTTCTCAGGTCAAGAAGAAATTTTACTACAACTACCCTGCCCCTTGAACAGCAGGTTATTTTAACACTGGCTTTTTCACTCACAGAAGAGAATTCTGTCAGCCATCAGTAACAAAGGGATGCACCAGATTTTCTCTCTTGGGGTAAAGTAAATTTATTGGGCTCAAATTGAAGCTCAGCTTTGGAAAAAAAAACAACAACAAATGAGAAAAATGCAACAACAACTTTTATAATTTCCTTAAATTTGCAAATTCTGCCTTAAGAGTTCCAACAAAAATTTTATCACAAATTTTTTGTTGCCTTGAACTGTAACTTTGAATGAAAACACTGCTTTTTGTCAACATTCAGGTGTGTCAAGTCATCCTAAGATTGTTAAAAACTGTAATATTAGTAAGTTTTTTAAAAAACTTCTAAACTTACTCCTGTGTAATAGAGTTAAAATCTAAACTGGTGTTGAGGTACAGTAAAAAGGATAATTTATGCTGTATACACAGAATTTTCCTGTTCCCTTATCATGTATGGTGCATCTATAAAATACACCATGCCACCTCTTTCTCTCCTCTCCTTAGAATTTATGCATAAATCATATCCATTCCTTACTATGTATTTTGCTCTGTATTTGGGTAGCAATATTTGAAAAGCTTTACAACAAAAATAGTAAACACTAGAAGTGTTAAGTACTATGCAACAGTGCTAAATACTGAAATTATTAAACTCCAAACCTTGAGCATACTTCTCACATCTTCAATCAATGCTCCTGTCCTGCAAGACTGCACTACCTGAAAAAATGCAGTAACAGGAGCTCTTCTACGGTACTTCAGTAAACTCTGTCACAAAGAGAGCATGGAAATGTGGAGAAACAAGCATGAATAAAGAAGAAGATATTTTCCAAATATTGACAGTATTATTATGATATTTGCCAATATTTTCACAATATTATATTTTCCAAATATTCACTGTAGTATGCGGTATTGCTTCCGAGACATTTATTACTATGGTCTTTAAATACAACTTTAGAGGGTTTGTTGATTTATTTTAGGATAGGAGCTGAAAGTTGGAACTTGGAGGCAGACTTTTTTCAAGTTTTGCTATGGTAATTAACTTATTCCACTATAAAACAGAAGTATTGGACACGTCTAAAAAATTTAGTTTTTTCACTTTTTCGGTACTTAAAGAGATGATGAAACAAAACCAGAAAGAGACAGACTTAGATGTAACATACAAAAGGATAGTTTTAGAAAGCAAACTAAAGGAGACAAAACTTCTATACCCTGTTTGTACTATATTTGTTAATAACAACTTGGATAAGGAAATAATCTTTGGGGATACAGTCGATCAACAAAAGGATGCAGATTTAAACTACTTGTAAAAATGCTGAACTAACCACTTTTCACAGACATAAGAATTACCAATTCTTCAAAATAGAAATTTAAACTAAACCATAAGTATAGTCAAGGATCTGTAGTGGTTTCTTCCCTAGTAAGCCAGCCTGCTCTCCAAGTTTCCAGCATAACAAATTACTCATATGTCCATTCTGCCACACACTCAGACCACAGACAATCAAGTGGAAAAAGGCTTTTGGGAACTCTGAGAATCTGAGCACTGTCTCTCACTAAGTGGCATCCACCACCAATTGGTTCACCTAAAACCAACAACTCCTTAAAAACCAGCCTTTACAGCAGCTCTAGCTCACATACATAGGACTACACAGCCAAGAAGTCAGAACTTGCAAGAGAGTATTTGCTTTGTGTTAAACTGGGAGCATTCTTGAAGCATTTATAGCTGTTTGCAAATGTTAGTTTGTACTGATGCAGGTCAAAGCTTTTTTTTTTGCACAAAGAAATCACAGACATTTCTAGAAAATAATTAATGATCTTTGTGTTTGTAACTGCCAATTTGTTTTGGCTAAATTTTAGAGTGATTCCAGAACAAAAAACACCGAGCCCTGG